GAAAATAATGAATATGAGTTTTCTTATATCCATTCTTATAAGTGATTAGATGTTTATACATTCTTCAAAGATGAAAATTTTGAGAAAGAAATTTTCTACTTCATGTTCTATCTATTTATATATGAAATTTTTCTGTATCTCAGTTATTATTTTTTACTGTATTACTTTAAGAAGAAACTGAGATGTTATACCTTCAAGCCATGTAATTATTTTATCTTTTGTTGGTGCTTTAGTGATATCTGCATAAAGAGGTTTACTTTATTTTAATTATTTGTTTGAGTCAACTTTTTTTAAATTGCGATAGGAAAGTGTCCATTTGGATGAAGAAACTGTATGGTTTTTTCTCTGGTTTTACCCAAATTTAGAGGAGATGCTTTTGAAAAATAGAGTAGAAACTATGGTTGAGAAAATAGTTTTTATTAATTGAGATTCCCAATTTTTTATGATTAATTAATTTATTCTTTTATTCTCTGAAGGGCGTTTAAGAAAGTTCTATCATTATGCTGGGACTAATTTATGATCTCTTACTAAAACTTTTTTTTAGCTATAACAGGATCATATAGATGCTGTTTTTGTGAATGCAACTCTTTCTGGGATCCAACAGCGCAATTTGGAGGCAAGCCAAATTAATGCTCTGATTATCTTGGTCTAGTTTCATATTTTAGACTGATGCATCATCAACGGCTAATATATTGGATTCACTCTCGAACATGTTGATAGATTTCTTGGGGAAAGCCAGTTTTGGATCGTGTTGGCCTCATTATAGAGATCTTCAATTCCCATGCGGAGACCAAAGAGGCAAAGCTGCAGGTTTTTCAATTTCTGCAAATTTAATGTTTCTTTCTTTTCCGGCATTTTATCACTTTTTTTTAGCTTGATTCTTACATCCGTCTGGATACAATCAAGGATGTCATTTTATCAGCTTCCTAGACTATTGCTCATGTGCTGAGAAATGATATTGGAATTATGGTGAAGTTTTCCTATTCTATTTTACAGTCTGAACTAGCAGCCCTCATGTACAAGAGGAGTCGTCTTGTTCGAGTGCGGGGTTCACATGGACGTCTTACTTTTGGAATAAATGGTGAAGCTGAGGTTGTCAGTGGCCGTGGGTAAGTATAGCATATGTAGGATCTATGATTATTATCTTTTGATGGTTCAGGTGGATATTTCATGTTTAACGTAAGTTAAGAAAAATGGAGCATACATATGCAAACTTTTAGTATAATGAAGTGACCGTTCTTCCTATGAAATATTGCTTTAAATGATAATTATATGCTGCATTTCCGCCGAAAGCATATGTTGGCATAATACAAGTGCATAAAGTTCTCTATTTCCAGTAGTAAATATTTTTTATATGATTGTTAACTTCAGGAGAGGAAGTGGTGGGCGTGGTTTTATTAGTGGTGCTGGAGAAACAGAGCTACAGCTCCAACGGAGGAGGTAAACTTGTATGGTATTTTTTATTTATTTTACAGATTATTGAACAGGGTAAGTTTTTCTGGAGTTATTATATATAAACCTTAATCAGTTTGACTATTATTTCAAGATAGGTTATTGACAATTTCATGTCCATAATGTTTTTTATAATGGACTTAGAAATGATTGTTTCAGTTCCTACGTTTCTTTTGCTAAAACAAATTCTTTACACCATTTGATGAGTTTGAAGCAATCAATAAAATCTAAGCATTTTTCTTAAATAGTGGGTATCTAATTTGTAAGAGCCTAAGAGGCATTCATCATCATCATCATCATTAAACTTATCCTATTTCAAGGTTGCTTTTTAATCTTCCTATATTATATATGACAAATCACCTCTCAGCGTATATGCCTTTTATTATAGAAGATCAAATCACCTCAATTTATTTTCCGACATCTCTAATAATCATTTCTTACTCAATATATCTTAATTCTATAGCACATTCATTTTAACATCTTTTATCTCTATTATAATCAACTTGTCTGCCAGTGGTTGGTTAACGCTCATATTCATAGATTATTATCAAGTTAATTGTAGTTTTATAAAAAAATTATCTTTATTTCTCTATGATATTATCTTAGTTTGTACTACTCTTGAAACTCTTCTAATTTAAAATCACAAAGCTTTAACTTTATAATTTATGCTCTCATATACACATACATGATTTCCTTTAAATAAATTCAAAGAACTGGAAATTAGCACACCAACTTTACATTCATTAAAATTGTATGTGACACACTCTATTTTTAATTAAAGAAATTATAAGTATCTTTTTTTTTTCTTAATTTTCTTCAGTGATCGAACTTTTTGCTTCCTTCACAAGAGCTTAACTACCAAAAATCTATAATGTGTTTATAACTTGCACCAATGTATCTCATTTT